GCGGGGAGGTCGCCCCAGCGCAGAGCTGCGGGGGGATGGCCCAGGAGCCACACACAGATGTGAGGGCTTTACGTGCTAACAGGCCATAGTTTGTACAAAATCCCGCGGAACTTGTACACAGCTCTTGCTTGATTCATGTCTTGAGTTGCAGAAAAGGGGCTCTTTTTGGGTCTCAAAGTGTGACCTGAAATGCAACTTTAATACAATTTATTCAAGTACTGTTAAACAACTCTCACAGGGTCTAAAGCATGTTTCATCTGTTTCTTTTGTGGTTTTTTTCTCAGATATTGATCACAGCATGGCCCAGTCAGCAGATGAAATGTCACTGCAGGTGGTATCAGCCATCAGTAATTCATCCTTGCTTCAGCCGGGCTTCTCTCTCCTGAATTTTGATGGGCATGTTTTCTTTTTCGGGCAGAAAGGATGGCCAAAGAGATCCTGTCCCACTGGTGTCTTCCTCCTCGATATAAAGCAGAATGAGCTCAAAATGAAACCTGCTGCCTTCTCTAAAGACTCCTGTTACCTCCCCCCTCTCCGCTACCCTGCTCTTTGCACGCTCAGAGGCAATGCAGAGTCTGATGAGTACCAGTATATCATCCATGGTGGGAAAACACCTAACAATGACCTTTCTGATAAGATTTACATTATGAGTCTGGTAAGCAAAAATAGCAAGAAAACCATGTTCCAATGCATTGAGAAGGACCTGGGTGGAGATGTCCCTGAAGCTAGATATGGGCATACAATTAATGTAGTTCATAGCCGGGGAAAAAGGATAAGTGTTATATTTGGAGGGAGATCATATACTCCTCTTGCACAAAGAACCACTGAAAAATGGAACAGCGTAGTTGACTGTTTGCCATCTGTGTTTCTCATTGATTTTGAGTTTGGATGCTGTACGTCATACATACTTCCAGAGCTTCAAGATGGACTTTCTTTCCATGTTTCAATTGCCAGAAATGATACAATCTACATTTTGGGAGGCCATTCGCTTCAAAATAACACCAGGTCCCCCAGCTTGTACAAGCTAAAAGTTGATCTCCCCCTGGGCAGCCCAGCCGTGACCTGCACCGTCTTGCCAGGGGGGATATCTGTGTCAAGTGCTATAGTGACTCAAACCAGTGATACCGAATTTGTCCTTGTCGGGGGCTACCAGTCTGACAACCAGAAACGGTTGGTGTGTAACAGCATAGTTCTGGAAGATAATAAGATAGAGATTGTTGAAAGGGCAAGCCCGGAATGGACACCAGATATTAAACACTGCAGGATATGGTTTGGCTGTGATATGGGCAAAGGGTCTATATTGCTGGGCATTCCAGGGGCCAACAAACAGTTAATCTCAGATGCAAACTACTTTTACATTTTGAGATGCAAAGGAGCAGAAGAGGACAAGGAGGAAGAACTGACAGCACAAATTTGCAGTCAGACATCGACCGAAGACCCTGGAGACTCCACTCCATTTGAAGATTCAGAAGAGTTTTGTTTTAGTGCTGAAGCCAATAGCTTTGATGTTGATGATACTGACACTTACAATGAAGATGATGAAGAAGATGAATCAGAAACAGGCTACTGGATCACCTGCTGTGCCAGTTGCAATATTGACATTAACACCTGGGTCCCTTTCTATTCAACAGAACTCAACAAGCCTGCAATGATCCTGTGTTCCAGCGGGGCTGGCCACTGGGTCCACGCGCAATGTATGGATCTCTCAGAGAGCATGCTCCTACGTCTCTCAGAAGCAAATGTCAAGTACTTCTGCAACGAGCATGTTGACCTTAATAAAGGGCTACAAACTCCCAAAAAGGTGGTGCACCTGAGAAAGCAACCCATGAAACCATTGCGCAAAAAGACAACCATGAAGTTAACAACACCTGCGAAAAAGTCCTTTCTTCGGAGATTGTTTGAATAGATTTACACTGCTGATTTGTATTCACCTGGGAGGAAGTGAAATCACAGTCAAAGACAACTAGTAGTGGTTGAAGGAGAATGGATTATTGCAGCTTGAAGAGACCTTTTTATTTATTTGATTTCAATTATCTCAATATTTCAGTTACTTTTCAAAGCTCATGAATTTATTTTGTCTCTTATGTGTATTTTTGTAATATCCAGATAGGAACCCCATCACAGAGGGCCTTGTGCAAACACACAGGCAGATAGATACTGGTAACTTTGTGGCATATTTTATGCTATAACTTACTCCCCGGTTATCCCCAGTGAGTTTAATGGAACTGCCAGCAGTATAAGATACTATCCCATGTACTCAGTGGTGTTAGCATCTGTCCATAAAGAACATTATATTACCCATTTTAATTTCTTATCTTAGTGAGTAGTTCTAGAAATATTTGACCTAATTTATAACTGCAGTCCTCCAATTTTATGTTGGTGTAATGAAATCAAATTAGACTAATTACTCTGTTTTTAAACTGAAGTGGTGGCTTAAGTCCATTGTGTCAGAAATAATGAAATATTCAGACACTGAAGGTCAGTTTTCTTCAGGGACTTCCATTATGGAAATCTTACATATGGAGCATTTAATTTGGGATAACTAATTTGTGATTTTGGGAGGTACTGAATGATTATATGTCAGTTTTGGCTACAGTTGTGGAATATCATCTCATAGTAAAAATCAAATGCTTTTTAAAACCACTGTGTTCAACAACTGCTTTGTGTTTGTATTTTTAAAGATCTAGTAAGGTAATAAAGTTTATAAGAAAAATTACTGGTTTTTTTTGGGGGGGGGGGGGCATTTAAATCAAACACTATAAATCCCAAAGTCTATGAAAGTACAGCATGTATGCTTGGGAGGTCCATCTGAAGTCTGACAAGGGGTCTAGCTTCACAGCCGCCCCATGCTGTGAGCTCCCATTGACTTCAGAAGTTGTTCCTTCTGATGAATAGCACTTTTATCATTTACTCCAGGTCCTCCACTACACATTTATTTCTCTGCTCTCCCAGGGTGACTGTGTAGAGTGTGAAAGCTTAAAAGTGCAAGCTGTAGCTCAGAGTGACTCATTGAGCATTGTGAGGGTGGAAACAAATGCAGCCGGCTGCTCAAAGCACAAGGAGGAGATGAGATTCAGATTGAAAAGGACATTGTCAAGGTTGAATAGCCCAAGAGTTTACTAACTTATTTGTGGATTCTTTTATTGGCTATTTATAAAGCCTCATCATTCTTGACTTTATTTTTTATTTTTATTACTGCTCCAAACATCTTTTCAAAAAATCAATACCATCAGCTCAACATTTGTGAGCCAACAATAATAGCTCAGTACTCACAGTTCAGCTCTCATGCTGGACCCCTGAATAAAAAAGAAAAACAGGAGCAGCTGTCAGCCATTTGATCGCTATGTGCAGACCCTCAGCAGCCACTCCTTTACAAAGCAACATGTGTAGCACAGTAATCCTATCAACACAGATGTGTATGCACAGTACACCCCTTAAAACCTTCACAACTCAACAGCAGAGGAAAGTGAAGGGCAACCATACAAAGTTTCCATTTCCAATGTTTTCATGGGCTGACGGATGTTATAGTTTGGGTAGAGCTTGTAAATGGAAAGTATATCACCCTGACTCCCCCTCACCAGTTTGGTATTGGTATAAATTCATAGATTTCAATGCCAGGTTCCTGTTTCCTTTGTCATGCTACTTTACCTAAGCTCAGAGTATATAGTGCTATATGTTTTTCCAAGGAATAAATTAATATCATGCCCATGTAAAGTCCCTTCAAACTGCTGAATTTCAACAGTCAACATCCCCTTTTGTAGGTCAGTCATAGGTCTTACTCAGCTGAATTGTCATTAAAATATACATTCATCATGCACTCTTCATAGACTTCATTTACATCAATCAAGAAAAATCCACACCAAAATTAAAGCCACATCATCACAACACCAACAAAAGGGGACAATATACTCACACATCAAAACTCCATGCCTTGTCCCTTTATCACTGAAACTGGGAATAAAACTCCTTAATACTTTCTTTCTGTATTAAGAAGCAGGCATTACTTTATTCGGCACCAGGTGCAAGGTGGAATATTTCCACAAATCAAGCACACCTCTTGAAGTTCATTTTGACATTTATAGATGACAGTTAACGCACCACGCCTATCTAATACATAATCTTGGTATAATTTCTTCTAACAAAATCTTTACCACTTCTTTTGCTTTACTGGTGCAACATGGGAAAGCTTCAGGCCATCCTGAAAAAGTATCAACAATTACCAACAAATATCTATATCCATTACAATTAGGTAATTCAGAAAAATCAATTTGCCAGTATTCCCCAGGCGTAAAATCTCTTTTCACCTCTCCGGGAGGGGGTCTTCTTTGGATTTTAGGATTATTTTTGACACAAATTTCACATTCTTGTGTAACACTTTTAGCAATCATCATCGTATTGATTCCTACAGCATATCTCTTTACTGCTTCAATTAAAGCTTTAATTCCCATATGCGTACTCTTATGGGTTCACTCCATTAACTCCTTCATTACTTGTGGAGTTACAACACATTGTCCAACTGGGGTTACCCACCATCCGTCAGTAGTCTTTATGCATTTCAATAATTCAGCCAACTTTTTTTCTTTTTCTGTATAATTAGGGATGTTGATTTTAAAAGTTCTTTCTGGGACTAAGGCTGCTACATTTGTTGACAGCAACAGGCTGATAGTTGTCTCTTTACATTCTTCAACTGTATCTGCCCCCAATAAGATATCATCTGCATATTGTAACAAGGTAGTGGTGGTCGTCTTACCTTGCCATTGCTCCAGTTCTATTGCTAGTACATTACCAAAGATGGTGGGGCTGTTCTTGAATCTTTGGGGAAGCACTGTCCAGCACAACTGCATTTTGCATCCCATTGTATGGCTTTCCCTTTCTGAGACTGGCACGTCACACAAGCAAGCCTTCCCTTACCCAGGTTCACCTTATTTCCCTTTATAACCCCATCTGGCAGGAGATTACTCTCCCGGCTTACAAATGGGGTTACCCTTGGTAATGCCTTAACAAAACCCAGGGGCCTTGCCCTGAACTCACTGGATCAGGGGATCAGAGGATCTCCCTGAAAAGAACTTCGGTGGTGCCAGAGTCCTCTTGATCCCAAGAATCCATCAAGCATCAGATGCAGGGTCCCACCTCGGTCACCAAATTGTCACCGAAATCGGGAATAAAACTCCTTAATGCTTTCTTTCTGTATTAAGAAGCCAGCACTACTTTATTCAGTGCCGGGTGCAAGGTGGAATATTTCCACAAATCAAGCACACATACATTTGTTCATTTTGACATTTACAGATGACAGTTAACACACCATGCCTATCTAATACATAATCCCTGAACTGACTGAGCATCCTCTTCTTCCATTGGTCTGTATTTTCTCCATTTAAATTTAAAGCTACAGTGTGATTTTCATTTACTGTGCATGCTCAAAAGGGGGGGGGGCGTGTGATGCTCAAAAGGGGGGGGGGGGGTAGTCCTTTCATCCCTCAATTGAGTCAGTGGTCACAATCTCCCCCTGCCAGAATTACCTTTCCCCCAGTTACCATGCTTCAGCAATCACCCAATTTCTCAGCATCTTCTGGGGCAAGATGTTCCCTTTTATCACTCCTGACCTCACATTTGTGGCCTTCCCTTATCTTTACAACCTTCTTTGTAGCAGGATGTTTCCATTGTCAGTCCTTGAAGTTCTACCAATTTGTATTCTTTTGAGGAGGTACTCGTTAGTTTGCACTGCTAATACCCTCTTATCTGGCCTACGCATTATTTACTACCTTCCTTATTCTCAAATTCTCATGTGTTAGTTTCCACTCCTAATTGTGATCCTTTCTTAACTACTAATAACTCCTGCACTATTTCCATTTCATCCAAGAAAAATATATATAACACCTTCACCAATTTACAACAAAAGACTTCCCACAATTATTGAACTCCCCAGCAATGTCCAGTCCAAGCTTTTGCCTGTTACCTCTCCCAATTACTGTCATTACCTCAAATTCTTCAAAACCCACATTGTGTGACAAATTTGTCTGCTAGTGCGGACAAATAAAAGGATGGAAATATTTTCCAAAGGGAAAGCTTAACACTGACCTAGCAGAAGTGACATTCAGCCTGAGATAAAGCCTGGTGGCTCAGGTACTGGTGGTGTGGTTGCAGTATGTTGGGAGCATCTCTTCAGTTTCCAGAACTGACTCCTGCAGCTGCAGTGACTCCCTGAGCCCCTAGAAGCTGAAAGCAGGTACGGTCAGTATGTGGCAAGCACAAGTACACATTGCGGCCCTTTCTGATTCTTACCTGAATTGTTGTTCTTTACTTTAGGGCTGTGGCTATGAAAAAAGCAATTCACAGTCAGACTTACAATGTTCCTTATCAAGCCCATAATGTTAGTGTATTTTATGCTTGAGCTGTGCTTTTTTCAAATGTATAGTTTATTTGAGTAGGAGGGAGAAATTGTTTGGTCAAACCATGTCCCAGCCTCACAGTGAAGGGCAGTACAAGCAGCATTAAATCACAGCTCAGAGACTGTAGTCACTGCAGGAAGAAGAAGTAAAAGTAAAATATAATATTCCAGAGGACTCAAACATAAAGAGATATATGAACATCAGCCTGTAAAGAAGACACTTGACATAGCATTCAAGACTGCAGAAAGTACTTAATTCCCTGGTAATTCTGATGAAACTTTTGAGTCATGTACTTGTTAGAGCATTGATTGTCTTCAAAACCAGCTGATCAATACAAGATGTTTCTTCCTCAGGCAGGTTAGAATTAGAAGATAAAATGAAGTAGATTTGAGTGCAAAAGTAAATCTCTGTTGTATCTGCATCCAACTGACCTATGTGTTTTTTAACCACAACAAGCAGCATCATGGTTCCCAGCCACATTTTAGTAACACTATGTTCTTATTATCAGCTTTTACGA